GCTGAGCCATGAAATTTAAACAAAAATTACCTACTGGGTATAATGTATAATATTCAGATGACAAGTACACTAAAAGCCCCATCTTCACCACTGTACAATTCATCCATGTACCAAAAAACCACTTATATCCCTTAAATCTATTGAAGAAAAAAAAAAAAGAACTATATGGCTTTGATCTATTAATATAGTAACAATTATAGATTTTCACAATACCTATTTCCTGTTTTACTGTAAGTGCTTGATATCCCACTTTTCGTGTTTTCTCCATTCCATTCCAACCCCTATCTCTAGATAACAAATTATTTTAGAGCCAGTAAAAAGCCACCAGAAATGTATGAGCACAGCAAAGGGATATGGTATTCCCAGGTGCATTTCAGGAAATGAGAAGTATAAATTCCCTAAATTGATATTCAAAGTCCTTCAGAAGCCAGTGGTTAATGATTTGACGTCAGCATTAAGACTGCTGGGGCTCCATTCTTGGCTCCACCACTTGCTAATTTTGTGATCTCAGGCAAGTTACATAACTTCCCTGGAACCAAGTTTTCTCATGTGTAAAATGAGTAAAAGTACAAGTTAATATATGTAAATCTGACTGACATAAAATAAACATTCAAAAAAGTCACTATTATATTATCATTAAAACTACTTCTCCCACCATCCTCCTACTACTCTTCGTCCAGAAAATACTATTCAGTATTTTCCAAACACAAGTTGTGATTTCTTGCCTCTTCATTTGTTCAACATGCTTGCTTATGCATTTTGCTCCCTGGAATGATCTTTTTACCTACTTCCACAAGTTAGAATCTTCCTTCTCCAGCATAAAGAATGTAGCCCGTGAGAAGAATCCTGAAACAGATCTCTGTGATAGAAATTCTCTCTCCTTCCTTTGGCTTCCACAGCACTACGTTCACAGCACATCATTATCTAAACTGTATAATTATCTGTATACTTTTGTGAACCATTCTGCAATCTACAGTGTCTAAAACACAAACATACATCAATTAGTCCATTTTCAAAAACTAAAAGCATTTAGAAAATGCAATGAGAAACAGAATGCTCATTGTTCAGTATGAATTAAACTATAAACCAGTAACACTAATGAAATGAATATGCGATATTGGCAAAATATATATAAACCAATAAAACTTTTATGTCCATAACATAATGAAAATAGGGCTGGGCGAGGTGTCTCATACCCATAATACTAACACTTTGGGAGGCAGAGATGGGAAAATGATGGATTTTGAGGATGGGAGTTGGAGATGAGCCTGGGCAACATAGCAAGATCTCATCTCTACAAAAATAGAAAAATTAGCTCAGCATGGTGGTATGTGCCTATACTCCTAGCTGTATAGAAGGGTAAAGCAGGAGGACAACTTGGGTCTGAGTGTGTGAATTTGCAGTGAGCTGTGATGATACTACTGCACTCTAGCCTGGGTAACAGAGTGACAATGTCTATTAAAAAAAAAAAAAGGCCAGGGACAGTGGCTCATGCCTGTATCTTGGGAGGCTGAGGGGGGTAGATTGTCTGAATTCACAGGTTGGAGACTAGCCTGAACCAGAGCAAGATCTCATCCTAAAAACAGCTGGGTGTTGTGGAGGGCACCTGTAGTCCCAGCTACTTGGGAGGCTGATGCAAGAGAATCACTTGAGCCCAAAAGTTTGAGGTTGCTGTGAGCTATGACACCACAACACTCTACCAGGGGTGACAAAGAGAGACTATGTCTCAAAAAGCAAAAAAGAATTCGACACATAAATTAACGAAAACCAACAAAGTTCATTCATTTAACCATATATTGAATGCCTTCATGTGCAAGGCACTGTGATAGGTACTTGGACACAAATATAAAACATGTAGTTAAAAAACCCAAAACAAAACAAAACAAAAACATATAGTCCTTGACCTTAGCATATCAAGGTTAATGAAGAATAAACAAATCCAATAATTATTTTTTTCTTTTTTTTAATTAAAAAGACTTAATCAGAGAGAAATCCTGTAATTATTATAATAAATTAAGGATCACAGGAGAGAAAGTTATGTCAGACTTAGAGGAATATAAGAGAATGCTTCAGGAGAAAGAAGTGATGTTTGAGAAAAGACATAATGAGGGCTTGGTGTGGTGGCCCACCCCTATAATCCTAGCATTTGTGAGGCCAAGGCAGGTAGATTGCCTGAGCTTACCGTTGAAGACCTGCCTGAGCCTGAGCAAGAGCTCTTTTCTAAAAATAGCCAGGCCTTGTACTCGGTAGGCTGAGGCAAGAGAATTGCTTGAGACCAAGAGTTTGAGGTTGCTGTGAGCTATGACTTCACCTCACTCTACTGAGGGTGACAAAGTGAGACAAAGTCTCAAAAAAAAAAAA